AGAAAAGCAAGTCTTGAAAAATAAAAATTAGATCAGAATGAATTTGAGGGGGAAAATATCCCTGTTTGTATATTTACTATATATGCAGATTTAACGAGCCAATGCTTTTTTTCTTCTATCTCTAATTAAAAACAAAAATGAATGAATAAGCTCTGTTTTTTCAGGTAATAGTAGGAAAATTAAAACAAACACTGAAATCTAGCTAAGCGTCCAGACTGTGCTGTTTCCTTACTTTAATCTTTGCAACAACCTTGCAAGGATTATTATTTTTATTATCTTTATCTTATAGGGGTCTTAATTATTTTTTTCCCTCTGACAGACAAGACTAGAAAATGGTGCAGAAGCATTGTGGGTGGGGAACCACAGGAAAGGAAGATCTGTTGAATCCCAAGGCGAACACGCTGTTACACCAGGCTGCCACAAGAAATTACGTTTTTATTTGTGTCAGACACATGAATATTAAAAGGCCTCACTTGAAAGAGAAAGCATTAATACTATGAGCTGATCACAGGCTCCCCTAAGCGCCATACCATACATGCAGTGGCAAGTTGATAGCACCACTTCAGTGTCCCACAGGCAATGCCCCAAGTTGATTTAGCATCTTCTCTCACCTACACTGGCTCTTCTTCCTCTTTCTCTTACCTTAAGGAACATCGACACCTACTTCATTGCAGAGAAAATAGATCATAAGGAAACATGCCAAAATTATAAATAATGCTTTTATCTGTGTAACTGAGTTCCAGGCTTTTTGTTCAAATTTTATTTACTTGATTTGAAAAGCAGAGACAGACAGAAATCTCCCAACCATTGATTCACTCCCCAAATGCCTGTAACAGTGAGGTCTGGGCAAAGCCAAAGGTCGGAGCCAGGGCGCTCAATGCTGAGTGCCAAACCTGAATGGTAGGGGCTCACTACCCACTGCATCAAAATGCCAGCTGTGTTTCAATAATTCTTAAACAAAATTTGTCCAGCTGTAATTAACATTTCTGGTGCTGTGATTTATCTTACCACTGATTAACGTCAGCATCACTGTAAGCCTGGTGGCATTTATTTGTTGTATAATAATCTTTTATTTTCCTGTAAGAATCAAAAAACTGTACCCTAATATATTTTAGATTAAGTAAAATGATGAAACTTTTCATTCACATATATTTCAGACATTTTTAATTTTGGGCAAGTATTTGGAAAGTTGGTTTGCTGGACTAAAGAGTATATGAATTTTAAATTTTGCTAGATGTTTCCAAATTGTGTTCCAAATCAGGTGAAGCGATTCAGGCAGCCATTGGCTGACTTGGGAAAAGTTTGTTCTCCTCACCCATAGGGTAGCGTGGATCTCTGAATATTTATCCAAGGCGTGGTTGATAAGTTGGCACTCTAGTGACTTAGTCTCTTACCTGTTACACATCTTGCAAATATTTCCTCCCCTTTTGATGCTCTGGGGATTCTGCACCATGCAGTTACTTGTTCTTCGTGTGTATTCAATTGGTCAGACTTTCTTTATGACTTTTACAGTTTATACCCTGCTTAGAAGGACCTCCACCCTTAAATTTTTCTATTTTTTACTACTGCCTAGAGTTCTTATAAACTTTATCTCTCTAAGGCGCTTGAAATTTATTTTTATACAGTTGGATCAGGCATCTGTCTTCTCCCGATGTGGTTATTCTACAGACTCCAGGACATTCACAGGCTCCTCTTTGACCCAGATCTTTTTTTTTTTTAATTAATTAATTTATTTATTTATTTTTGACAGGCAGGAGTGGACAGTGAGAGAGAGAGACAGAGAGAAAGGTCTTCCTTTGCCGTTGGTTCACCCTCCAATGGCCGCCGCGGCCGGCACGCTGCAACCAGCGCACCGCGCCGATCCGATGGCAGGAGCCAGGTACTTATCCTGGTCTCCCATGGGGTGCAGGGCCCAAGGACTTGGGCCATCCTCCACTGCCTTTCCGGGCCACAGCAGAGAGCTGGCCTGGAAGAGGGGCAACCGGGACAGAATCCGGTGCCCCGACCGGGACTAGAACCCGGTGTGCCGGCGCCACAAGGCGGAGGATTAGCCTAGTGAGCCGCGGCGCCGGCCCTTGACCCAGATCTTAACATATACTCTGTATTGACACATTACATGAGTCTTTCTTTTTTCATTGATCTATTTACATATGATAACTTGTACTTATTGTAAGTTTTCTTTTTTAAGATTTATTTATTTACTTAAAAGGAAGAGTCACAGAGAAAGAAGGAGGAACAGAGAGAGAGATCTTCCACCTGCTGGTGCACTCCCCAGATGGCCACAACAGTTGTGGCTGGGCCAGACTGAAGCCAGGAGCTAGAAGCTTCATCCATGTCTCCCATATTGTTTCAAGGGCCCAAGGGCTTGGGCCATCCTCTGCTGCTTTTCCAGGTGTATCAGCAGGTAGCTGGAGTGGAAGTGAAGCAGCCAGATATCAAACCTGTGCTCCAATATGGGCTATTGGTATTGTTTGTGGCTCAACACACTGAGCCAAAATACTGCCCCTTATTCTCTCTTTCTTTCCCCCCCCTCCCCTCTCCTCTCCTCTCCTGTCTTTCCAGATTAAATTATTTTATTTGAAAGTCAAAGGGACCAGCACTGTGGTATAGCAGGTAAAGCCACCGCCTGCAGTGTTGGCATCCCATTATGAATGCCAGTTTGAGTCCTGCCTGCTCCGCTTATGATCCAGTTCTCTGCTGATGGCTTGAAAAATCAGTGGAAGATGGCCCAAGTGCTTGGGTCCCTGCACCCATGTGGGAGACCTGGAAGAAGCTCCTGGCTCCTGGCTTCAGATTGGCCCAGCCTCCAGCCATTTCAGACATTTAGGGAATGAACCAACAGATGGAGAATCTCTCTCTCTAACTCTGCCTTTCAAATGAATAAATAAATCTTAAAAAAAAAAAAAAAGGCAGAGTTACAGAGAGAGAACTAGAGACATAGAGAGAGATCTTCCACCTGCTGGTTCACTCCCCAAATGGCTGCAAAGGCCAGAGCTGGGCCAGGCCAAAGCCAGGAGCCAGTAGTTTCTTACAGGTTTCCCCCCTGGGTGGCAGGGGCCCAAGCACTTGGGCCATCCTCCACTGCTTTCCTAGGCTATTAACAGAGAGCAGGATCAGAAGAGGAATAGCCAGGACTCAAACTGTCACCAATATGGGATGCTAGAGCCTTAACCTGCTATGTTGTAACACCAACCTCCTTTGTTCTCTTTCTAATAAGAAATGCAGGTCAAACTTTTATTGCTCTGTGTGTGTGTGTGTGTGTGTGTGGTTATTTAGTACTAGCAGAATTCATCTCCTTTTCCTATAATAGAAAACTCTGGCTTTCTCACCTTGAAACACGGCCATAGAGAATAATCCCAATTCCCAGCCTTTCTGGCAGTTATGTGATCATGTGGCTATTTTAACAATAGCATTAACGTAGAAGAGTAGACACAGAATCTAGGAAGTGCTCTTTAAAAAAAAAAATTTATTTATTTGAAAGTCAGAGGTACATAGAAAGAGATGGAGAGGCAGAGAGAGAGAGAGAGAGGTCTTCCATCTGCTGGTTCATTCCCCAGTTGGCTGCAATGGCTGGAGCTGCACCAATCTGAAGTCAGGAGTACTATTTTTTAAAGCATTGTTAACTAGGCTTTGCCACTTGGAGTGAAAAATTCCTAAGGAAGGAGGACCAATCAGTAGGAGAACTAGGAAATGGAGAGCAAGCAGGTTTGTCTCTTGTCTGCCTTTCTTCTACATATGAGGACTCAAAGCAGCTTGTGGTATCTGATAACACTGGGGGCACTGCCACACTTCCACGGTCTCCGTATTTACCTCCACTCTCATGTTCTGTGACTTATCACAGTACCTGGTAAACAGCAAGCTGAGGGCCCGCAGCACTGGCCAGGGACTAGAAAAACTCATCCTGTAAAACTCAATTTGGGGTTTATGATGGTGCAGTAAGGAGGGAGCTTGCTGCTTGAGTCTAGAAGATAGTTTTTTAAAAAAAAATGGAAGGAGTAAAATCTCAGGGATGAGTTAGCGAGGAAACTCTATGTAAATTGGAAGAACACAGTGGACCTATGTGGAGGGTGAGGACGCATACACTGTAGGACCCCAACAGCTGAGAGCCTTTGCCCAAGCATTGGAGAGCAAGATGAGACCAGACTGCAGCAGCCCAAGCCACTGGCAAAAAAGCTGCAGGAAGAGCCTAGCAGGAATCTGGCTTGGAGCCTTGTGATGGATAGTGTACCTGCCAAACTAGAGGAGGAAAAACGGGTGTGTGTGTGTGCGCGTGCATGTTTTCTCCTGCTGATCATCCTGCAAAGGCATCCTGTAACAAGCTGACGGAGAGCAGGCGCCATTTTGGACATATGTAACAGCTGCACCATCTCATGTCCATGCCCAGCAACTAACCAAGCAGAGACTCCTGAGTCTGGTGGGCAGAACAGACAGGGGGCTGGGTGCTCGTGACTGTGGGAGGCTTGTGTGCTGGGACTTGAAAACACTGAGGCTGCATGGGAGGATTCAAGGTGTGGCTGGGACATGGGGCAGTCACTGTGGGAGGCTCCACACCATCAGGGCTCCCTGCATAGCTAGTGAGGGACATTACTGGGGAATCTGAGTTTACACTGTAGACTGCACAGATCCTTTGTACGGTCCTTGCGGCAGAGCAGATGAATAATATACTAACTGGGGCTAGCCCCCAAGTACTGTCACTGGCTTCCTTCGAGGAGAGGAGCTCAGCTGAGTCTATGCCAACAGGCAAGAAGAAACCTCCCCTCTGATTAAAAAAAGAAAAAGATTGAATACACCAAACCTGGATGTGTCACCTCAGACACACCTTCACCCTGGAGCACTGAACAGAGCTACCTGGCCACTCCCACCACACGCCTCTAGATATTCCCTGAAAGCAGACACTCCACTAATCCAATCAGATATAGTCCAAAGGTAAAAGCTGCCATAATGAAAAATCAAAGAAACCAACGAGTAGCCCCACAAATGCCAAATAACAAATGCACCAATCCAAGAAACAAGCATGAGGAAGACAACATGATACTCCCAAAAGAACACAACACTTCAATACTAGATTATGAAGATGATGAGATTAAAAAAAATGGCAGAAATAGAATTCAAAAAAATTATCATTACTTAGAAGTAATCAGAGCTCTGTGCCTCGCACAGAGCTTCCAGCCGCGCCATGTTGGGACAGAGCATCCAGAGGTTCACAACCTCCGTGGTCCGTAGGAGCCACTGTGAGGAGAGCCCAGGGAAGAATTTGCCATTTTCAGTGGAAAACAAGTGGAGGTTGCTAGCTATGATGACCTTGGATCTTGGATCTGGATTTGCTGCCCCTTTCTTCATAGTACAGCACCAACTGCTTAAAAAATAAGGATGTTTTTGGTCATCTGTTTAACAGATAACAGCATTTCAAGAGGTAAAGTCTCTGAAAAATGGATCAAACTCTTGAACTCATAGCATACTAGATATGTTTGTAAATAAACTTAAGACTAGAATGCTGAATGCCTCTTCTCATATATAGGGAATGTGATAATTGAGCATGTGATTGCTTTATTATTTGGATAATATTCCAGCATTAGTTTCTTTTTTTTTTTTTTTATTTTTTGACAGGCACAGTGGACAGTGAGAGAGAGAGAGAGAGAGAGAGAGAAAGGTCTTCCTTTTGCCATTGGTTCACCCTCCAATGGCCGCCACGGCCGGCGCGCTGCGGCTGGCACACCACGCTGATCCAATGGCAGGAGCCAGGTACATATCCTGGTCTCCGTGGGGTGCAGGGCCCAAGCACTTGGGCCATCCTCCACTGCACTCCCTGGCCACAGCAGAGAGCTGGCCTGGAAGAGGGGCAACCAGGACAGAATCCGGCGCCCCGACCGGGACTAGAACCCAGTGTGTCGGCGCCGCAAGGTGGAGGATTAGCCTAGTGAGCCGCGGCGCCGGCCAACATTAGTTTCTTAAGATGTGAATGATTCAGCTTGTTGTGTGACCTATTTATTTAATTTTTGCTCTTTTGAATTAAGACACTGTTGAAAATTTATGATATAAAAGAAATGCCAAGTTATCTATTGTCTATAACTTTCTTTTAAAGGGAGAGAAAAGATTTAAGAGCTTCATTTTTTCCCAGGCCTATAACATTAAGTTGAAATTTTTGGTGTGATAATGGTACTGCTGACCAATATTAGTCTTGTTGAGGCTGAATAAAAGTATTTAAAGTGGAAGCATATACTGTAGGAAGTATTCCAAACATTGGAGTTTGACTTGTAGCAAGGGGATAAAAGATAACAGTTGAATTATGCTTTAAAATCTTACGGGCCTAGTTTGTAGGGCTTTGTTTTAGGCAGGGGAAAGTAATTAACAATTGAATATTTTAATGGTTTGGTTGCTTCTGGAATATGAATGGATGAATAATGTAAAGTAGATTATAAACTGGTAGTCTCTCTGGCCTCCAGATTTTGGTGAGAGGATGCTATATGTTTTTAAATAATATGTATTTCTGGATTCTTGAACAATTGCTCGGTGTGGTTCCAAAGCATTTCATAGAACAAAATAGGTGCCTACACCAGCACTTAGCATAATGTTAGGCATCCTCTTAGCTTTGGTGTAAAACTACCTGATTTGCTACAACCTGAAATTTTTATTCTCTCAGTTTATATGCTAGTGCCTGTCTTTAGACTCCATAACAGCCATCTGATAACTTCTTAAAATGACTTTGCCTAGCTTGCACTTCTGTGTCACTTTGTTTTGATTAAGTAATCATAAATTTAATGTCACTGTTTGTTGGGAAAGTTTTCCTATGGGAGAGTAAGATTTCCTATCTTTGGAAAAAGAAGAAGCAAGAATAAGACTGTAGGATTGATAAAATGATCTTGTGATTTCAAATCTTTGCTCTGTAATTAAACTACAAATTTAGCAAAGAAAAAAAAAAGTAACCAGAAGCAAATGCATGAACTAATGAAATCCATACATGACATGAAAGAAAATTTCTGCCACAAAATTGATCTTAGAGAAAACAAAATTGAACCTTAGAAATGAAGAATTCAATAGAACAAATAAAAATACAGTGGAGAGCCTTAACAACAGCATCAGTGAAGCAGAACAAAGAATATCTTACTTAAAAGACAAAGCACTGGAAATTATAGAGTAAGCCAAAAATAATAAGAAGAAATTAGAAAACTAAAACATTATTGGGGATCTACAGGATACCAGCAAGCCACCCAACATATGAGTTCCAGGAATTCCTGAAGGTGTGGAAAGAGAGAAAAGAATAGAAGGCCTCTTCAGTGAAATAGTAATAGAAAATTCCCCAATCTGGAGAAAGAAAGGGACATCCAAGTACAGGAATCATTAGAACCCCTAATAGACATGACCAGAAAAGATCTTCACCACAACACATTGTAATCAATCTCTCCACAGTAAAACATAAAGAAAAGATTCTAAAATGTGCATGAGAGAAACACCAGATTACTTTCAGAGGATCTCCAATTAGACTCCCAGTGGACTACTCATCAGAAACCCTACAGGCTAGGAGAGAATGGTGAGATATAGTTCAAGTCTTAAGAGAAAAAAAACTGTCAACCCAGAATACCATACCCTGCAAAGCTCTCATTTATGAACGAAGGTGAAATAAAGACCTCCCATGACAAACAGAAACTGAAAGAATTTGTCACCACACATTCAGCCCTGCAGAAGATGCTTAAGGATGTGATAAACACAGAAACATGGTCATCACTACAGAAGAAGGTAAAGAAAGGAAAGCTCCCAGTAAAATTAAAAAGGAAATCCATTACTTATCAATAGTCACCTTGAATGTAAATGGCTTCAACTCTCCAGTTAAAAGACAAAGAGTGTTGAATGGATTAAAAAACAAAACCCATCTATTTGCTGCCTACAAGAAACACAGCTCACTAACAAAGATGCATGCAGACTGAAAGTGAAAAGATGGAAAAAGATATTCCATGCTAACAGAAACCAAAAAAGAGCTGGTGTAGCCATCCTAGTATCAGACAAAATGACTTTAACACAAAAACTGTTAAAAGAGACAAAGAAGGATAGCATGTAATGATTAAGGGATCAATTCCATAGGAAGAGGTGATTATTATAAACATATATGAACCTAATTACAGGACACCTGGCTATTTAAAAGAAATGTTAAGGGACCTAAAAGGAGGCATAGACTCAAATACAATAGTAATGGAGATTTCAATACCTCACTTTCAGCAAAGGACAGATAAACCAGGCAGAAAATCAGCAAGGAAACAGCAGAGTAAATTGACACCATAGAACAAATGGGCTTAACAGATCTCTACAGAACTTTTCATCCTACAGTTTTAGAATACACATTCTTCTCACCTGTCCATGGAACCTTCTCTAGGATTGACCACATGCAGGCCATAAAACAAGCTTCATTAAATTCAATAAAATCAAAATCATACCATGGGTCTTCATCAGAGAAATGCAAATCAAAACCACAATGAGGTTTCACTTCAACCCAGTTTGAATCTTTTATACAGAAATCAACAACAAATGCTGGTGAGGATATGGGGGAAAATGTACCCTAGTCCACTGTCAGTGGGAATGTAAACTGGTAAAACTACTATGGAAGACAGTGTGGAGATATCTTAGAAATCTGAATATAGACCTACTATATGATCCAGCCATCCCACTGCTGGGAATTCACCCAAGGGAAATTAAATCAGTAAATAAAAGAATTATCTGCACCCCCCATGTTTATTGCAGCTCAATTCACAATAGCGAAGATATGGAATCAACTAAATGCCTGTCAACCAAAGACTAGATAAAGAAATTATGGGATATGTACACTATGGAATACTACACTGCAGTAAAAAAAAAAAAAATCTAGTCATTTGCAACAAAATGGGTGAATCTGGAAAACATCATACTTAATGAAATAAGTCAGTCCCAAAGGGACAAATACCATATGTTCTCCCTGATCTGTGACAACAGAGCACCTAAAAGGAAATCTGTAGAAGTGAAATTGACACTTTGAGAAGCAATGACTTGAACAGCCCTTGTCTTGACTGTCAGGAAGTTTTTTTTTTTTTTTTTTTTCTTAATGGAGAATGGGACTGGGAATGGGAGAGGGAGGAGGCGGGGTATGATGTGAAGAATCACTATATTCCTAAAGTTGTACTTATGAAATTTGTACTCTTTAAATAAAGTTTCTCAGGGGAAAAAAAAGTAAAAACAACAAAAAACCTCAATCTGACCACCCCAGACACCCCCTCTCACAACTACTTCCAAACCTACAGGTAATGTCTCAGTATCATCTCTATGTGGATGTCAGTTCTTTGTTTTTTTTTTTTTTTTTTTTTTAATTTCACCAAGATCTGATTTCTTGTTTAGTATCTTCTAGAAATCCCACATAGCACCCTGGTTTTCTTTCTAGTTTAAATTTATTACTAACTTTTTTTTTTTTTTTTTTTTTTTTTTTGACAGGCAGAGTGGACAGTGAGAGAGAGAGACAGAGAGAAAGGTCTTCCTTTTTTGCCATTGGTTCACCCTCCAATGGCCGCCGCGGCCGGCGCACCGCGCTGATCCGATGGCAGGAGCCAGGAGCCAGGTGCTTTTCCTGGTCTCCCATGGGGTGCAGGGCCCAAGCACCTGGGCCATCCTCCACTGCACTCCCTGGCCACAGCAGAGGGCTGGCCTGGAAGAGGGGCAACCGGGACAGAATCCGGCACCCCGACCGGGACTAGAACCCGGTGTGCCGGCGCCGCTAGGCGGAGGATTAGCCTAGTGAGCCGCGGCGCCGGCCCTAACTTTTTTATCATTGTATTTTTTTTTCTGTAATTTTAATAGAACTGTAGAAAACAGTAACTTGAATCCTGTAGTACCTTTTGATCTGGAGCTCTCCCAAATTTATACTTTACATTCATGGAATAATAAAGGTGCTCATAGTCTCTTCCACACTTCATGCTGTTTCATCCTTTCCTTGTCATCAGAGAGAGCACCTGTCACCATGCACAGCAGCTCAACTCTATCCTAATTTTTTAGTTCAATCAAAAGCCAGGGGGCCGACCCTGTGGCATAGAGCGTAAGGCTGCGACTTGCAGTGCCAGCATCCCCTATGGGTGCTGGTTCGAGTCCCAGCTGCTCCACTTCTGATCCAGCTCTCTGCTATGGCCGGGAAAGCAGTAGAAAATGGCTCAAGTCCTTGGGCCCCTGCACCCATGTCGGAGGCCAGGAGGAAGCTCCTGGCTTCGGACTGTTGCAGCCCTGGCTATTGCAGCCAATAAGGGAGTGAACCAGCAGACGGAAGACCTCTCTCTCTCTGCCTCTCCTTCTCTCTCTGTGTAACTCTTTCAAATAAATAAATCTTTAAATTAAAAAAAAAAAAAAAGGCCAGAAAAATCAAGAGAAAGGGAACAGAGGGAATAGACTGAGATGGCTGCTTCTGAGCAGGCCTCAAATGGTAGCAGGGTCTGCTGAATTTACCATTGCTGAGAATCTTCCTTCCAGCCCTGAAGGCTCCCTGATTTTGTTTGCCAACTAACCAGAGAGATCCACCTTTCATT